CCTCGCCCCCCGAGCCCACTGTAGGTGTCCAGCCTGTGTGTGGTCACAGGGCCGCTCCTGTCCCCGCTCCGGCATGACAGCGGGAATTCAGCTGACGGCCGTGGGCCATGTTGTGTTGGAGCTCTCACTGGGACAGAGGCAGGATAGGGAGTGGTGGAGCCCAGCCTCACCTGCAGCATGAGCTGCAGTCCCTTCCTGCCCCAACCTGTGCCCTCTAAACTGGGCTGAGAACGGGGCCCCCAGGCCCACCGGGAGCAGGGCCTCCTCAGCCACATGGGCCGCAGAGCTGAGGCTGGGCGGTGGAGCCCCTGGGTCCCACGGTGCTGTGTGCACGGTTTCTCAGACCCTGCACCTCCTCTTCTGGGAGCCACATGAGGCCCAGCTGCTGGTCCAGCTTCCTCCTCTGTCTTTGCGATTCCGCTTGTTTTCTCAGCACAAGATGGCCCCGTGCCAGCCTCCACCGCTGCCTCCACGCAGGGCATTTGTCTGTTCTCTGCCTGCCAAGCCCTGCTCCTGCACCGCCTTCTGGCACGGTGGCACTGTCATCCCTTTTGGACCCGAGGGCCTAGCCAGGAGATGCAGAGGCCCGGGAAGCTGTGGGTTGGCCTGGTGGACGAGCCCATGGTCCCTCGCCCTCTCCCTCCATCTTCGGCTCCGTGCAGTCAGCACACTTGCCGTGGTAGGACTCCTCTCTTCTCTCTCTGAGCCAGTGGCAGGGTCCAGGAGAGCTTGTCTTGTATTAACGGAAGGGGAAGAGATGAGAAAGGTGTTCTCTGCAGTCCCTGGAAATCCGTCTCCAGTGATGGGGCGGGGCAGGAAGACAGGCTGGCCCGTTGAGCGTACCTGGCAAGTGTGGGGTGATGGGTGGGAGGTTGTGGTCAGGGTCTGTGGACTTCCCTCGTGGTCTCAGCTGTTCACCCCTGAATGGGTTGCAGACAGCTGGAAACTTATGGGATGGTGGTCTGACCCCGAGTGTGCTTGTGTGCTGGTGGTCAGTTTTAAAACTAGGTCACAGGGGCCGGCACCGTGGCACAGTAGGTTAATCCTCCGCCTGCGGCCCCAGCATCCCATATGGGCGCCGGTTCTCGCCCTGGCTGCTCCTCTTCCAATCCAGCACTCTAATGTGGCCTGGGAGGGCCCAAGTGCTTGGGCCCCTGCACCCACGTGGGAGACCAGGAAAAAGCTCCTGGCTCCTGGCTTCAGGTCGGCGCAACTCCAGTGGTTGCGGCCATTTGGGGAATGAACCAATGGAAGGAAGACTTTTCTGTCTCTCCCTCTCGCTGTCTGTAACTCTACCTTTCAAATAAGTAAATAAAATCTTGTAAAAAAATTAAAAATAAAGCTAGGTCACAGAATTGATGGGATGTCTCTGCTGCATACCGCACAGCGGCTCCCCCGACCCATGTGAGCCCTCAGACACTGGTCAGCCCTCCAGCACCAACGCGTGACGGCCATGACCCCAGCCGCCCTTCTGGGTCCTGGGGAAGAACATGGCCCAGGCCCCACATGCCTGGAGTTCCAGTCACCAGAGAGACAGGCACATGGGGGACACAGGGAGGGGCTGGGATGGTGGTCACATGGGGGACACAGGGAGGGGCTGGGATGGTGGTCACATGGGGGACACAGAGAGGGCCTGGGACGATGGCCGCATGGGGGACACAGGGAGGGGCTGGGACGATGGCCGCATGGAGGACACAGGGAGGGCCTGGGACGATGGCCGCATGGGGGACACAGGGAGGGGCTGGGACGATGGCCGCATGGGGGACACAGGGAGGGGCTGGGACGATGGCCACATGGGGGACACAGGGAGGGGCTGGGATGGTGGTCACATGGGGGACACAGGGAGTGGGACAATGGCTGCATGGGGGCAGGCCTCTCCTGGGCTCCCTCCTTTGGCTTCTAGGACCTAAAACCTTTGGCTTCTGTTCTGCTGGCCAAGAGAGACCCACTCAACGCTCCCCATCCGGGATGGCTACTGAGGCTGCGGGGGCCCTGAAACCCCCCAGCCTAGGGAGGCACAGATGGAGGCCCCAGCAAGGTCATGCGCACAGCCCGTGCACTGTGGCAAGCCAGACTGGAGGGAGCATGGACAGCAGTGGGGAGCCGAGCAGAAGTCAGAATGGTAGTGGGACAGGGACGTGGTCAGCGCATCAAGGCACAGTGCTGTTAGAGGCGGGAGGTAATCTGGCATGTGTGGTGCAGGCTGGAGACGGCGTGAAGTGCTGATCCAAGGTCACTGCATACCAAGAGTTCCCTGCGGGTGGGATCCCAGAGCCGGTGGGCACTGGGTGCAGGTCGGGGGGGCTGCCCTCTTTTGAACAAGAGGGTTTTCTTGAATTTTGGTTTTCAGTGAAGTGAAGAGTGAGGTCATTGTTGGGGTGCTTGGGGAGTAAGGAGAGGCTGTTGGGAAGGGGTCCCCAGGTTGCTGGAGAAGTGGTCAGACCGGAAGGCAGGCCAGGTCCCTGGGAGTGCCCCTCTCAAACGCCAAGGCCGCGGCTCAGCGCTGTGCAGGCCTCCAGCCCCAGCCTGGTCCCGGGTGCAGCTGGCACAGCACTGGACAGAGTTGGGGCTTCCCCGTGAGGGAAGGTGGGGGGAGAAGGGAGCAGATGGGACTCAAGGCGGGGCGGGGGTGTGAGTCTCCAGTGGCGCAGGATGCACGGCTGCTGCACCTGTGAGGAGAGAAGGGGGCCATGCACAGATGCTGGACGGTGCGGACGGAGGGGAGCGTCCGTCCTCCTGGGAGTGGGGGACAGGGCTTCCTGCTCTTGGCACCTGAGGGGGACTCTGAGTGAGGCTGGCTGAGCGGCAGGATGCGGGTGAGGTCCCTGGAGGGGTTAAGGCTGCTGCTGGAGTTGTCAGGAGACAGCGGGGCTGAGCTGGGGTCAGCGGGCAGTGGGCTGCAGAGGCCATGCACGGAAGCTTCTGGAAGCTGGTGCTGGCAGGGACAAGCTGGGTCTGCATGGGTGATCAGGGCAAGGAGGATGCCAAGCTACACAGTGTGTTCGGTTGGGAGGTCCCTAGCACTGGTGCTTGGGAAGTGCGTCCCCAAGGGAGAGCCAGGTCTCAGCTAGCACAAGGTGACATGGGCTCAGCAAGAGCAGGCCACCATTGCCAGGGAGTTTGTGCCGACCGACCGTAAGTCCAGCAGCTGAGGGTGAGAGGGGCGATGTGAAGTTGAGATTCTGCAGGGTGTCTCACTGTTTGAGTGCTAGGCCGGTCAGGTCTTCATTGTGAGGCCACAGCATGCATTGTCAAACTCAGTGTCTCCAGCTTCTACCCTGGAAACCTGCAGTGGCTACACTCTGCCCAGTGCTGACTGCCCTACCAGGGCTGCCTGTCTCAGAACCTGTAGATGTTGACTGTCCCTGCTGGGCCACCTGTCTTAGAACCTGTAGACACTGGCTGTCCCTGCTGGGCCACCTGTCTCAGAACCTGTAGATGCTGGCTGTCCCTGCTGGGGCTGCCTGTCTCGGAACCTATAGATGCTGGCTGTCCCTGTTTTGTCCACCTGTCTCGGAACCTGTAGATGCTGGCTGTCCCTGCTGGGCTGCCTGTCTCGGAACCTGTAGATGCTGGCCGTCTCTGCTGGGCCGCCTGTCTCGGAACCTGTAGATGCTGGCTGTCTCTGCTGGGGCCGCCTGTCTCAGAACCTGTAGATGCTGGCTGTCCCTGCTGGATCCACCTGTCTCAGATCCTGTAGATCCTGACTGTCCCTGCTGGGCTGCCTGTCTCAGATCCTGTAGATCCTGACTGTCCCTGCTGGGGTTACCTGTCTCAGAACCTGTAGATGCTGGCTGTCCCTGCTGGGGTTACCTGTCTCAGAATCTATAAATGCTGGCTGTCCCTGCTGGGCCGCCTGTCTCAGAACCTGTAGATGCTGGCTGTCCCTGCTGGGGCTGCCTGTCTTGGGCTGATGTCTGGATGCCCTCACCGTGTAGCCAGCACTACACGGCTCCCTGGAGGGAAGACGGGCCCCTGCAGGCTGTGGTGAGAGGACAGAAGCCCCAGCTGAGGGGTCAGCAGGAGTTCAGTGATGAGAGATGCCAGTTTGGGAGACAGCCTTGTAGGCCTGGAGTGGCAGGACAGACACACGGGTGGGAGTGGACGTGTCCTGTTGAGCTGAGAACATGCCCGAGAGACAGAAAGAACGAAACAGCAGAGAGCGGAGGTATCTGCACATGGGGGAAGGGGCTTTGGAAAGCAGCCTGAACCGGGGGTTCCCGCCCCATGCAGGCAGGCGCTGTTCCACACTGAAACTTGTACACCTCCTCTGCCCCCACAGCTACACTGCAAGCAGGAGCGTGCTCGGGGTGTTTCCTGCATCTGGGGAGACTGGCCAGATGTGTGGCCTGGAGAGCGGGGGCCAGGCAGAAGGGGAAGAGTGTTGGTGTCAGGGCGGGCACAGGGGGTGGCAGCAGAGAGAGCTGCACTTGAGTGGAGCGGTGAGAGTGAGCCAGGTCCCCTTGCAGCCTGCTTCAAGGGAGGAGAGGTGTGGGGCGGGCAGCTTGGTCAGCACAGGACCAGGAAGAGCCAAAGCTGGGCCCTCCCTGTGTCGTGTGCCCCGGAAACTCCCCTCCAGACACAGGAGAAGAAAGCGGGCACGGTGAGGTTGCAGGGATCGGGAGGTAAGGACAGGGACGTATCGAAGCCGCCCTCTGGGTGGAAACCCTGACAGGAGACGTGGGTCACGGTCTTCACCTTGCCCTGGAGCCAGACTCCAGCCCTGTGGCTTTGTCGAGCGATGTAACTCTGTGCCTCAGTTTCCCTTTCTGTGACGTGGGAGTGGTAATGATAGCACCTCCACCCTCCTTGGAGCCCGTGACCGCCTCCTCCACCTCGTGCCTGAAACGCCGCCCTCCCGCTAGGACCTGCCCCAGCCACCCTGGAGCCTTCCCAGGCGGGGCCCCGCGTGATGGGGGAGCGTGCGGCGTGCGTGTCTCCGCGGCCCCCTTTCCGAGCGCTTACCTGTGCGTTCTTTTGCCTTTCCGGTCCGGTGGCAGACACGGGGCTGGGAGACTCCGTGTGCTCCAGCCCAAGTATCTCCAGCACCGCCAGCCCCAAGCTCGACCCGCCCCCCTCCCCCCACGCCAACAGAAAGAAGCACCGGAGGAAGAAAAGCACCGGCAACTTCAAGGCCGACGGCCTGTCCGGCACTGCGGAAGGTAAGGTCCCCGGGGGCTCCCAGAGCAGGAGTCTGCGTCTGAAAACCCGTTCCTGCCCTGCAGGGCTGCGGGCCGCGCCCCCTCAGGCCCAGCAGCCACCGGGCCGTGCGCGTCTGCAGCAGGGCCACCACCGGCCCCTCGTGCTGCCCCACAGCGTGGCTGGTCGGCCACGGTGCCGGTCCCCCCGTCGTCAGCCGGGCGAGTGCCGTAGTCTCGCCCCACCTGGGCAGCCTGGGGCCCCCAGCTGAGGCAGGCCATGCTGTGTCACCCTGATAAGGACCGTCCGCTCCTGATTTAGGGATCTCCTCTGCCCTGAATGCCACCGAGAGAGCCGCCCCGGTGTGGCTTTCCGCGGCACGTCGCGGGCCCTGCTGCCACGCGTGGCCCTCGTTCCCCTTGGCCCGGCTGAGTTTCTGTGCTCGGGTACGGCTGCCGGGATCTCCCTGAGTGGCTCCCTCCAGCGGGTTTGTGTTTCATAGTCCACAGATGATAGTGCAGAGAGACACACGCACACACCCCCCGCACCATTGTCGTAAACGCATTGCGGAAGTCCCTGGAAGGAACGGTGCACTGCAGAGCGTGGCTGTGGTCGCACGCGTCACTGTGGAGTCGCCGGGGGTGGCACAGCCTGACTTCAGCAAGGGGCCCATGGAGCTGCCTTTTTCCCCGCCCACCATCTTCCCTCTCCGTTTCCACCACGGCCTTCCTGAACATTCTAACTGAGTGTTCAGGATTGCGAGTTGCAAAACGGGGGCCAGGGTGGGCAAAAGTGGCGTCTCCCCTCCCGACGTCCAGAGCTGAGGCGGTGCACACGCTGCCCGGGTTAGCGAGCGGGGCAGGGCCGAGCGTGGGGCGGGCTGCGGTGTTCCCCACCATTCTGTGAGCCGTGAGCCAGCAGGTGCACTGCTCACTGGGAGCAGACTGAGCTGGGGCCTCAGAGCTCGCCGGCTGCCCGGAACGGCCCACGGACCCTCTCCTCTCCACACTCCTCCCCAGCTTGTCTCCGGCCAGCTCCCTGCTAACAGGTCAGGCTGATAAAACCAGTGTTCTCGTGTTGGATGCACGAGATGATCGCATCGTAGCAGCAGTGGTGAAGAGTGACATCTGTCCTGCTGGGAAAGGCTTTGGCCACAGAGTGTTGATGGGGCCCTTCAGGGGGACATCTGGCCAGAAGCACCTGCTGTGTGGGGCCACACCCCACCCTGACTGGTGCAGTCAATGTGGCCTCCGTGCCTGCAGGCTGCTCACCCAGGGGCTGGGGGTCAAGGCCGTGTCGCGTGTCTGGGTTCACCATGTCATAGTCGGTGTCCTGTCTTCTCAGCTGACGTTTGTGACTCTTGCTTTGTGCAAAGGCAAGCACAACCAGGTGCAGCCTGCACAGCCTGCCTGTAGCCCCTCCCCACGTTTCAGTCACCCCGCCCGCCTGTGGGCTGCTCCGGGGCCTCGCAGTGCCCTGGGAGCGGGTTCAGACCAGCGTCCCCTTCACATTGGACATCTGAGGCAGCTTCCTGCAGTGGCGGGGCTGTGTAGGCGCGTCCCAGGCTGAGGCAGAGGAGCTGTGCGAGCACATCGGGGCCCCTGCGAGGTCTCCCCGTGGGCGCAGCAGTCACACAGAGACGAGGGGACCAGGGACGCGTGTTCAGGTTCAGGGCTGCGCACTGGCTGTCACCCTCATTTAAGGAGTCACAAAGTGACTGTGTGAAAGCCACACAGACCGTGAGCGCTCCCTGTCTGATGACATCGAATCAGCTGGCGCGGATGTGCCTTCGAAAGGCGGGCGTGTGCCCGGCCGTGCCCAGGCCCGACACCCGAGGCTGCCGACTTTAGGCGCTGAAGCCTGCCACCACGCCAGCAGACGCGGGCTCCCCGCCCACCTGGCAGGCGCCTCCCAGGCATAGACCTGCCCTGACCTGTGCGGCCTGCGTAGGGTCCGGAGTTTCCCACGCAGGCACCGCAGCTCTTTCTGTGACGTCGTGCAGGCTGCAATGTTTCCATCCCGGAAGACTGGACGAGAAGTGAGTGTCCCATCAGCAGTTTGGCCACCAGAATCCCAGGAAAAAGTGAGGGCTCACCGTCTGACTCGCTGAGGGATTTTCCCTCTGCTTGCCCTTTCAGACTCAGTCAGGAGATTTGTTTTAATTCTGTGGGTTGAGAACGTCAGAGGTAGGCACGTGGCCGCTCGGTTAGCCAGGATGGAAAGAGCCCCCTAGGAAGCTGGGTGCGCTGGTCCTGCCACACAGAATTCCACTCTTACATCCTCTTACTCATACTCCTGTTTAACCGACCACTGGGAGCCTTAAAATATTAGAGGCATTCTTGATTCTTACTTGGATTTGACTTGGGCAGAGGCACCAGATATTCTTAATAAAACACCTGTGTCGGAGCCAGCACCGTGGCTCACTTGGTTAATCCTCCGCCTGTGGCACCGGCATCCCATATGGGCGCTGGGTTCTAGTTCCAGCTGCTCCTCTTCCAGTCCGGCTCTCTGCTGTGGCCCGGGAGTGCAGTGGAGGATGGCCCAAGTGCTTGGGCCCTGCACCTGCATGGGAGACCAGCAGAAGCTCCTGGCTCCTGGCTTCGGATCGGTGTGGTTCCAGCCATGGCAGCAATTTGCGGGTGAACCAACGGAAGGAAGACCTTTCTCTCTGTCTGTCTCTCTCACTGTCTAACTCTGTCAAAAAAAAATAGGTAATTCTTTTAAAAAAAATGAAACACCTGTGTCGTTCACATCTGGGTGCAGACCAACAAACAGAAATTCAGATGCGACTTTTAAAAATGGTGGTGGGAGCCAGGAGCGTCACAGGAGAACAGCTGTGACAGCGGACAGGCCCAAGCATGTCATATGATCTGCTGGTGGACGGACCCCGGGGGCAGGGCGGCTTGCGGCTCTCGGCGGTCTTCGGCAAGGTCATTTCCGCAGGACTGATGGGCAGAAGCTTCAAGGAAGTGGATCTTGGTTCTGGTGTTACACAGAGAACTCTGAAAACACTGCCTGCTGTGAGAGGCGGGGGTCCTTGACCCTGCAATGGGGAGCAGCGTGGTTGGGCTGTTACAGAGGGGGTGGGCTCTGGCAGTGTGGCACCGCCGTGGCCCTGGGGTTCCTGGCCTGACCAGGTGTAGGCTGTGTGCCAGGGAGAGCTCCTGGGCTCTGAGGATTTCCAGGCCTGTGAAAACATGGCATCTCTCGGCACTGGCGCTGCATGGTGGCATTTGCTGGCTGTCAGCGTCCTCTCCAGTCCTGTAGCAAAGCTGGCACGGCTGATAAGAAGCCACCGGCCCTGCAGGCCCGTTCTGTGGCCCCGAGTCTGGTGGTCCTCGTTAGCCAGAGAACATTCATGCAAGTTTGCATCCAGTGCTAATTTCCCCGTTCCCCCAGTGAAAGGGCTGACGTAGAGAGAGGTTAAGTGGCGTTCTTGTCCGGGGTCAGGTTGCTGGTAGGTGACAGAACTGTCTCTTCATTCTCTGCCTCCAGCCCTTTCCACCAGCAGAACGCAAGTCTTTGAGGTGTGTGGAGCGGCTTTTGAATCTAGGAGTGGGGCCGGCTGAATAGCTTCCTTGATATTTCTCAGATTCCATGTGAGGACACTGGCTTTTAAATGGTTCCCAATATCTAGAAGTTGTGTAGCAAAGATCTTCCTTTAAAAACGCATGGCCAGCGTGGCTGTGCCCGGTGTTACCATACAGCAGGTGTGGTGAGATCCCGCACCCCCCAACCCCTCCCTGGGACCCGCGGGGATTGTCCCGAAGGTCTCGGAGGGATTTATTTCATCCTTCTGCCCTGGCTCCCGGGGCTCGGCTGAGCCGTCGCTCAGTACTGGAGGACGGTCTTGTAGAGGGTGGCTGTGTCATAGCAGAGAATGCGTTGTCCCTCACAGCTGCGTTGGCCGGACAGTCAGAGGCGAGGCCCTGGACGCCGAGCGATTTCATCCACTCCAGAGCTGCAGAGGTCACCTGGGACTTAGTTTCCCTTCAGTGCTTCAGAGGGGAACCTGGAATCTGGGCTCACTGGAGTCTTTCCCGACACACAGAGGGCCCCCCAGGGGCAGTGCCACTGCGAGGTTGAGCCCAGGTCCACAGGCTCTGCCCAAGAGGATTAGAGCCGTGGCGTGGGGGTCAGAAGCTACACCCAGGGTGTCAGGCAGGTGTGTCCCAAACACAGACTTAGCTGCAGCAGTTAGGGAATGTGAAACCCTCATGCAGCTCTGTTCTGTCTGCCGAAGACGTAGTGCAAAGCACGTATGTCATTTAATAAGACTCTGCAGATGCAGAGAGCACCAATCTTTCATTAAACGCTGCCTGGTTATGGCTCAGAACCCCAGTATTGGTGACGGAATTGGCCACAAAATGCGGTGGTGGTTTCCCATGGCCTGTGGACCACAGGTGTCACTCATCCTAGCCAGCTGCCGCCTACCTCGGGAGGATTCGTTGTTGATTAGTTGGTGTTCTGGAAGGCAGTCTGGAGAGGGAATAAAGACTGGTGCGTGGCACTCTACCAGAAAGGTCGGGTCGCTGGGTGGAAGCCCCCGGTTAGTCTGTGAGCCTGTAGCTGTGCAAGCTTCCAGCAGTCTGGACAGTCTTTGGGCCATGTGGGGACTCTGCACATTACGACTGGGAGAACAGTGAGCTTCTTCACTGTGTCCGACTCTAAGCTGTCGGCGTCTTGGTACCACGTTGTCATCTTCCGTTACCCCTGGGGCACAGTCAGCACGGCGCGGTGTCAGGGCCCAGGAACTGTCACGGTCAGGGCAGCTTTCTCATCTGTGTTACTGGGAGTTTGCTGTAGGGGAGGGTGTAGGAAGACTCCCGAGAGCTGATTGGACAAGTGTTACTGTCACTTGTCGCTCCTGGATTTCCTTCTCAGAGCGTTCCACCGATGCGCCCAGTGCCAGTTCTTTGTTTAAATCTGGCAGCTACCCGGGAAAGGAAGGGGAATGAGAACTCCCCGTAGTCAGCTCGGTGAAAACTTCGCAACCAACACTCATTCTGATACTGCAGGGACT